AAAAGAGATATATTTCTAAAGTCTGGACGATGGCAGTTCGCAAACGGAATCAATGCTGCCCCTCTCATGTTTTTGCAAAAACCCACGGGAGGAATGAGAAACACGGTCGATCTACGAGCAAGGAACGACAACACGGAGAAAATTGCTTCCCCGCTACCCGATCAAAATGGAATTAGGCGCCGCGTTGCCCGTAGCAAGTATTTCACGGCTATGGATCTGGAGGGTGCATACGAACAAGTACGCGTTGAGCCTGAGGATGTAAAACATACCCTCATGGCTACACCCGATGGAACCATGATCAGTTTAGTACTACAGCAAGGCGATTGTAACGCTATAGCTACTTTTATGGCCGTAATGACAGATCTTTTCGCTCCCTACATTGGTGTATGGCTCGAAATCTATCTAGACGATCTCATCATTCATACCGACGAGCTGGAAGACCATATTTGATGCGTGAGACTTGTCATTGATATCCTGCGGGATAATAAATTCTTCCTCTCTGAATCTAAGATGCACTTTCTGGCGAATGAAATAAAGCTCCTCGGACACATTATCACGCATCACGGCATATTTCTCGACGACGCCAAAATTGACAAAGTTATTGCCTGGAAGACTCCTACAAATAGAGACCTACTTCGAGGCTTTCTAGGAGCAGTAGGATACCTAGCTGATGGATGCGCCGGCATACGCATTCCTATGAATGTTCTTAACCTCATCACCGGAGACACCGTCGTGTTTCGCTGGGGACCTACTGAACAACGCTCCTTCGATGAAATCAAGACCATCGTTGACAAGCATCGAAAGGTACATAGGGTCTCAATGAATTATGGACCTGGATCGCTGCCTGTGCACGTCATCACCAACGGATGCATCACCGGTGTAGGAGGATGCATAAAACAAGGAGAGGACTGGAAATCTGCGCCAGTCATCGCCTTCTACTCCGCAAAACTTTCAGCCGCCCAACAAAACTATGCCGTTCACGAAATAGAACTACTTGCCGGCCTCGAGACTATGATGCGCCATAGGGACATACTCCTAGGCGTACAATTCAAATGGTATACCAATCATAAAGGATTAACACATTTTATGAATCAGAAGAACCTCACCGGTCGCCAAGCAAGATGGCTCGAGAAGCTATCTGAGTTCGAGTTCGAAATTGTATATGTTCCTGGAGAAGAAAACTCATTGGCCGATTCCCTGTCACGAATCTACTCGAATGATGCTCCTGGAATTACGCAAAGGGCGTCAGAAATGGTACAATACGACGAAGACCAGCGACCGAATACCTCTGTGCCCATGGTACTAACGGGGCTTGAAGCTCGCATGGCGGTATTGCGCCCCCATGCCCCTAAGCCCATCGAAACGATCGTTAGGGCTGTACCGAAAGTACCTGTGAAAATTTTGATCAAGGAGCTCAAAACCAAGGGCGCGGAAGCACGCACAAAATCACCAAAGCCGCAATTACCAGCTGTGTCACGGGTCAATCATCGCCGACCATTGCCTACTATCACCGACTGTCCTCCGACGTTTCCTCCGCTCTTTGCCGCTCATTTTCCCGCGGTCCTCCGACGGATCTCCGACGGACTTTTCGTATCTTTGACTCCCCATGTTCCCTTTGTTCGTCCTTGCTCATTCTCACATCATATTCTTCTTCCTTGTGCTCGGTTTCCTTGGCACTGATTCCCTTTGTGTTTGTCACGTGTCGGATCTTGGGCCGTAACCGGGCCAAGTACGATAGCTCTGGTCGTTCCGGGTTGTCCGCCATCGGAGTAGCAGCTCCGATACCGGACCTACATTATCACATGAATAGTCCTCCGGCGACTCAACGTCCCGGTAGTTCTCGAGTCATAACGGATTCAACTCCGACGTTCACGATTGATATGCCTTTAACGGTTTGATATTCCCTTCGGACTTATTCTACCTCTGATTATCAGCTTCGTAACCATATGCTCCGTCCTTACGATTGACAGTTCCACATGGTTCATAGTTCCGATAACTCCTTATTCCACATGGTTCATAGTTCCGATAACTCCCTATCGATATGAGCTCCGAACCCTGCCTCCGCGTATATAAACTCCTAGCTCCTGTACTCTAACTCCTTAGTTCGAATATCGACTAAGTTACTCCTCTGCTCCGACACGGACTTAGAGCGCGTAGCGACTCAAGCCTTAAAGCTTGAGTCTGGTCCGTACTCGCACTCACTCTCTGTATCTCGAAACTCTGCTCCGACTTCCTCCGACTTTCTCCGACTCTCTTCCGACTCGACTCCGACAATCATCTCGCTAGGTCCGGACGTCACACCTCCAGCGTCGGACTTAGCTCCGTCTCGATCTTGACAGTGTTCCACATGTACTTTAGATCTTCTTCTCTGCTCCCTTTGTCCTACTGATGATAGATTCATCTCCGACTTTTCCATTGTTCTGCTTAGTACTTATACCAGCTTGTCTGTACGATATTCCTCAGTTCCAATATCGACTAGGCTTTACCCTTTGCTCCTAAGCGGACCTCGAGTGTGTAGCGACCCTTCGGGTCAAGTCCGCCTCTGCCCCGCTTTGCTCCGACTTTGCTCCGACTTTGCTCCGACGTCAGCATACCACTCTTCTCGATATTGTCTCTGAATCGCCTCCATCCGACTCTGTGTTGTGGTCTGGGCAGTACGCCCTTGCTCATTGGACTTAGGTCCACTCGTCCCAGACCCGTTCAGCTTCGGTATCGTTCATCTCCGCTTTTCCCGCGCATCGGACCTCCGCATTTCCGATATTTTTGCCCCGCAGTTTCGTCCCTGACAGGCTGCCGAAACCGGAAGACCTGAAACGTCTAAAGAATTCGCGAAGCGGATCCGAAAGATAATGCTGAACTTGCCAGTCCAACATCAGGAAGGCGAGGGTACTACCACATCGCAAATTGATGAAACCCTTGAGCCAAACCAGAAAACGAAAGAATCAATCGTGCACCAAGCATCGCAAATTGAATTGATTGGTGTACTCACCGATAATGAAGAAGGAATCACCTTTCCTGAAGCTTTGCATGACAAATATGAAGCCAATCCATTCTTCAAAGTTATCCTTGCCAATCCCACGCAATTCAAGAACTTCTACTGCTATCAGAACGTTGTGTACCTCAAAGGGACAGGAGTGAACTTACTTTGCATTCCTAAATGTTCAATAGGCAATCGAAGCGCTAGAGAGTTTGTTATATCATATGCACACTCAATATTAGCACACCTAGGGTCCTCAAAGACGTTGGCATACCTTCGAAGTTGTGTCTGGTGGAAAAACATGGCGAAGGACGTACAGGCATACTGCGACACCTGCATCACCTGTAAACGAAGCAAACCAAACAATCAGAAACCGTATGGTCTGCTAAACCCGTTACCCATACCAAGCAAGCCTTGGGAGGCGATAGGGATCGACTTCGTTGGACCGCTGCCCGAATCCAAGGATAGGGATAGCTCCTATGACGAAATTACGGTCATTATTGATCTCCTTAGCGGAAGAATACATCTCGTACCGAGTGGACAAGATTATCGCTCTAAGGACATCGCTGAGCTTGTATTTGCCGAAATATACCGGTTGCATGGCTTACCGAAAAGGATCGTAAGTGACAGAGACGTTCTCTTCACCAGCTCCTTCTGGCAGAACCTGAATCAGTTACTGGGAATAAAACTCAGTATGTCAAGCGCCTATCACCCTGAGTCTGATGGCTCAACTGAACGAACTAACCGTACTGTGACGCAAATGATTCGCTCATGCATCGATACTGATCAACGGAACTGGGTCAGTAAATTACCAGGCATAGAGTTTGCCATAAATTCTGCCCGATCTGAAAGCACAGGATACGCGCCATTCTTCGTCGACACAGGCAGAATGCCTCGTCCAATGATATGGAACCCTCCAAAGCAAGACGAATATCCTGGTGTACGAATGTTTGCTCAGCGAATGAGGCAAACAATAATGTCGGCACACGACGCAGTACTTGAAGCGAGAGTGAAACAAACTCGCCTTGCAAACAGGCATCGCAGGCCGTCTCCATTTGTCGAAGGAGACCTCGTATACATCTCCTCTAAGAACATATCCCTTACCTAAAGGGGATGGACACGAAAATTAGTACC